TAGATATTTTAGGAGGGGTTACCCGCTTCTTTTTTAAAACATTGTGTTCTGGGCTTGGCGTGGCTGATTCCGTGGCGGACAAAACAGGGTCCTTCTGTTTAGCATTGCGTGCTGCATCGGTGAAGAAGCAATTGATATACGATAAAGGTAGCGCCGGTGGCTGGGCAGCCTCTTGTTTCTCGAGAACTCTTGGATCTTTCTCGATATGGACGACTTCGATATGGTCGATTAGATCTAACAAGGAAGTGCACTGCTTACCACAACCGTGCCATAAGCAAGAGTATCGATAAAAGGCAGCCATTTTTCGCAGCTTGCCTCTGTTTCGATAGGTCGCGCCATTACATCATCGCGAAGCTTTTCAAACTTTTGACGTCACTGCAGCTATATTGCGCAAATCATGTTTACTCCAGATGGTTCTCGAAACACGTGGGGCGCACGAGGCGAAAAGCAAAACTCATTATAACAGGTGTATTTGGGGCTGCATATTATCAGTAAACAAAAGATCGTGACATAATTTGCCATCACACAACTTTCTAGTTTCATGGCTTTTCCTTAATGAAACTTTCACGTAAACACCAGTTAGGACTTAAGCCTATAATTTAGGGAGCTGTAACTTTTCACAATCAGAGAAGTAAGTTAAATCACTGAAATCTTCAAGTAAAAACTTCCAAAGATGACATAAAGTAAAGAGAAAAGCCCAAATCAGTCACCTAAATTTGAATTTAATTATCTGCCCTCAACAGGTGGCATGTCCTTCCGTAATTAGGAACAAGTTTAAAGAATTTTATATTCCTTAAACATCATATGGAAACTCAAAGTACGATGAAAATTTTTCATTTTGAAGGAAATAAAGTTGAAATAAAACAACAGGAAAGTCAAGTTATCAGGCAATGTTTACACAATTTCCATATGGCATATATTGTTTGTTGTGTTCTTGAGGAAGGCACTTATCCCTTAATAGGCCTCTCTCCCCTCAGGAGAATAAATGAGTACCAGTGAACTGTCAGGGGGAACTAGACAAACTGCTGGGGGGGAGGAGGGGGGGAGGTGTAACTTGCCATGGACTAACTTCCCATCCAGAGGGGAGTAACTATACATTTTCAAGCTATGAAAGCTTGGAAAAGCCACGGTAGCTGTGAGAGTTGTGTTGTTAAACAGACCTCTTCTCACTTTGTTTGAAGTCATGTTGAGCAACAAGGCCATTTAAAAATTTGAAACCTGATTGAAAGCCTGCATTCAAGCCAGGTGATGAACCCTGCCAGAGTTTATCCTAGTTTTCACAGCATGAAGTGACCTAACCCCAGTTTAGTGATAAGCCACAATAAATTTTTCATCCAGCTTTCTTTATTCCTTTGTTCAAAAGCCATTGGGAAAATCACTTAAAATTTATGCCTGTTCTGCGGGCTAAAATAATTCAGGGAAGTCAACCTAGGACCAGTAGTTAGTGCTGGTCATAAGTAAAACTTGAACAACCCATACAGTACCAAACTATCAATTTTTTAAAAAATATATTTTTGCTGCTATTAACAACAATATAACTGGGATTTCAGCCTGTCAGAGTGAAATTAAATAATTTTATACTCCTTTGAGTGACAAAACAGAATTATTCTTAAAAGAAATCTTCCATATACATGCCATGTTGTGTACTTCTTTGAGTGACAAAACAGAATAATTGCTACAAGAAATCTTGAATGGACCATCTATATTTTGTACTTCTTTAAGTGACAAAATAGAATTATTATTAAAGGAAATCTTTGACATACATGCTGTTATGTACTTCTTTGAGTGACAAAACAGAATAATTGCTTTCAGAAATATTTGATAGACCATCTGTGTATTGTACTCCTTTGAGTGACAAGACAGAATTATTACTAAAAGAAATCTTTGACAGACATCTCATGTTTTGTAATTCTTTCAGTGACAAAACAGAATTACTGCCAAGCAAAATCTCTGATAGGCTATCCATGTTCTGTACTTCTTTCAGAGACAAAACAGAATTATCAATATACGAAATCTATCATAGACATCTCATGGTTTTGTACGACTGAGTATTATTGTGTGCCAAAATTTAACTCAGTTGAACTCTGCACCATAAACACTAAATAATGAAACATTACAGCTGACAGCATGTCTACTGGACAAATGCCATCTCTGCTGCTCTTCACCAAATTTTTTATCAACTATCAGCCCCAGCTTGGAGTGCTGAAAGCTACTTTAAGGGCAGGTTCCAACTTGGCCCCAGCATCAGTATTCATGAGTTTTTGCTATGGCTCTGTACTCCTATTGTTCACCCTGAATGGATCTCTATCATCTTGATTATGTATTAGTTAATTAATGTACTAGTTAGCAGGGTCTGAAGTCACTTTTGTACCAGGACGCCAAGTGTTGATTAAACATTTTTGTTTCAATCGCCAAATGCTATTGTTTGGTCACAAAAAGATGTGATTTGTAAAGGTTCCACAAAACAGAAAAATAAAAGTGTTGAAGTCTTAGAAATGCTTTTGTGCTTAAAACATAACAATTCCTTTTCATCATCAGTTGACTGGATCAAATGCAACAAATCAAAATTACAAATGCTTTGTACCTTAAACACTGTTTTTCATTAACAACATTTGCGAGACTTACGGCTTGTTGCATGCAGGTGCCTAGCCTTGAAAATTCCGGTCACCAATAACCCATTTTCAGTCACATAAATTTCAGACCCTGCCAAGCCTATCACTGTAGTGAGAATTCACTGCACAAAAGATCTCTCGGGTTTTCAATGAACTTTTCAAGCTTTAACCCCTAAGAGTGATTGTCTTCTAATTTCTCCTCACATCACCACCTTTCCATCACACCTTAAAGTCATGCTAATAAAGGAAATGATCACCAACTAAAGAAGTGCTTGATTGTTAAACAAATTCTCCTTGTCAACACCTTGGGAAATGTACAGAGAACAGTGTGGAGAATATGCATACTGATGTTAGGGTGTAAAGGGTTTCACAGCTAGTTACTTCACAGCTAGTTACTTCCAGCAAGCTTGATCATAGGTCAGGTCAACTACCATTGTATGTAGCTGAATACAGCACATCTTTACTTCTCTATGCATTAGTTACCAGACCTCCATTTTCAGGATCTGCTTCAAAGTAAATCTTTCTGAATTTTCTTGCTGCCAGGAATGTGAACAAGCCCCACTTGAAAGTCATAAAGTTCCACACACACACTATGAAGTTCCCTGTGATAACAACTCCTGTGAAAAAGAGAATCATGAATCAGTTATCAGTTGATCATCATTATCACCTGGAGGAGGTATGTGATAATTGTCAAGAAATTTGACCAATTCCTTTTTCTTTTCTTTATTTCAGATCTTAAAGAATGTTCAACAAGTGTAAATTGTCAGCTAACATTTCAAAGTCATCCAACCCCCCATTGGGTGCAACAGGAAGATCATTACCTAAGTTTAAAGTACGGGAAAAGTGCTTTGTTCAGGAGCGCTTGAGTACAGTAACCCTCCTGTGTGTTTGCGAACAAATACTTTTTATGTCACTGTTGTTAGTCAAGTAATGTGAGTAAGGACCCACCACAGGCAAAATGCAATAAAGGAAGAGGAAAGAGAAAGGGCGGTAGTTATTTAATAAAGTACTTATTGAACGAGTTATTTTCGGACTTAACGTGAAGATAGCATGACCTCGTGCCGAATAAAACACCGTTCGGCCCGCCTATTCATTCAATAATGTTAGCGTTGCATCATAAATAAAAAACATGGAGTAAATGCTGAACAAACTGGCGCTAATCAAAAATGAGAAAAATCAAGCACCTCTAAAACTTGTTTAAAACATGTACAGTACACACTAACCTGTTTCATGCCTTGCTATTCCAAAGGCAATGTTTATTATGAAGGCGATTATTCCAGAAATCATGCCACCCAAACCGATGTTCAAAAAAATGGTAAATTTTGTCACTGAAAAGAGCCTATTGACATCGCGATATACAGCAACGATGAGGTGTAGGAAAATACTCGCAAATATTGCTGACACACCGGCCCAGCTAGCCGCGTTGTAATTGTGGTAAATCGCAGCAAAGACTACGCATCCAGCAATTCCAACGAGAATACCAATAACTGCTCCAATTATCCGTAAAACTGTCTTGTACTTCTTGTATCCTATCGATACTCGCGTTCGAGTTTCACCCATAGCGTCTTGAAGGGGCAAGTCAATGCTCACTGTCTCGTGCAAAACACTCGTTCGAAATATATTTGCGCAATTACCACAAGGCGTAAGTATTACCCATGTGCCTCTTCGCACCATGGGAAGGGTAACGCTTGTCATGCAACATTTCAACGCGTGACGCGTTTGCTCTTCAGCGAAAAAAAAACCAAAACAAAACAAAACCATGCAACACGCGTCAAAGGGATTGCCACATCAAAAAGTACATAACTTGCTTTGGATCGAAAAAACTGGGGGGGGGGGGGGGGAGTTAGGTGATCTTGGGTCGGGTAAGACTGTGCAAGAAAAAAGAGAGAATGGTTTGGCAAGAAAGTAAGAGTAATCTAAGACAGAGCGTTTTGTGTGATAAGCCGAAGTTGAAAGGTCTATTAAGCCTTGGCGGGGGAGGGAGGGGGGCTCATTAATTAAATATTTCTTGAACTACCCAGCGGATGGATGGTCAGGGAAGGGTAGCTTCGTGTGCGCCGGAATGCGAAATCTTGATTTCTTTTAAGTCAAATCAAGGCATCCTCAACCTAAATGGATAAGAATCGCAAGGTAACGTATGTGTTTTCAGATGAACAACTTCTTTTCTATAATTTTCAATATTCAGTCAAAGGTTGATTGTTCGGTGATGTAATGTTTCAGCAAAAAGTAGAAGGCAATGACTCGCTCATCAATTTTCCAAAACTTCAGAATCAGGAAAAAAAATAAAATGGAAATAGTTACAATCCTTGTTTATTTGGGTAATATAAAAAGCAAACCTAGGTTGACTTTTGTGGAATCGTTTTGAGCAACTTTAAGATATTTAAGCAACTTTCTCTTTGAAGAATTTTGAGTTTCGAACCCCTTCCCAAAATTTTGGGTCTGCCCTTAACGTTAGAAAATTATACACCACGTATACAACCGCAATTTTTTACAGCCGATTGCCGCTAAATAATTACTGAATCAAATTTTACCAGAATTCCTCTCTGAATCCTCTACCACAATTAATACGTAAAACCTATGCAACCTTGAAGTCCTCTACGCAAAAGTTGAATAACTCTTAACTGTACTTGTCTGTACGTAACGATCCACTGACTTATACAGTTTAGTATATACAAAAGCATGCAAACATTTCAGCCTGATTCTCTGTGTTTGCATAAAAATTCGTCAGCCTTTAGACTTGATTCGTACTTTGCACCAAACAAGGAGAAGATTCAAGGTACTCTTTTTTAAACTTCCTTGCGGACATGAAGATGAAGAAACCCCAGCCTAAAGACTTAATAGTCCAAATACACACCACCAGGTAGCCGTCGGCAGTTATTTCTGTAAAGATTATAAACGTATTCATATTTTAAAGTGAATATATGGGAGGTTTTAGTCGAGTAAAAAGCAGGTTAATTCTGTACTCGACCCAAGCGACCCATCCAACCGGAGCATATTTCGATTTCTATAGCAAGTTTTACTCCCCTCTGGATGGGATGGAAGTCTATCACAAGGTTACCCCACCAGCGCTATATCAGGCCTCCCTGGCAATCCGCCTGTAACTGTACCCATTTATACTCCTGGGTGGAGAGAGACGCATTGTGGGAATAAAGTAATATTTCTATTACTCTCGACCCAGAGCTCAGCGTGCTAACAATTGGGAACCGCGTCTCCCAACGGCTTAGTGGTACCCCCCTGTACTAAACGGGCGCTCAGACAGGTTACCATTCCCAGCATGCGATATTTACCCTTTATTGGCGTAGATGGAAACATGGTGCACACAAGTAGTGAAAAGGTCCATAAACAACACGCGAAAAAGGTTCTCCTCTGTGATCTTGAAAGAATACGTTAGCAGGGGAATGGCTTCCTTTGTAAACACATAATTGACATGCACTAAACTGTCATCAAAAGTTTACTTAATAAAGCTCACTGCTCTTGAAAGTCAAAGTATTTGAATAAATTCCCTTGGCTGTTAAGTGCAACGTTCTGCTGCTCGAGAAGCCTAAAATTGCCTAAAACACAACTGGATGCAAGAGAAAGTACTTTCTTATTCGAACTTCCTTCGCCTTCTCAGGTGACGGGTTTTATTTGTTCAAGTGAAAACAAGTTTTCTGAAAGAAAGATGATTTTACATCATGTCACGAGCGGGGAACAGAGAAAAAATTCTGCATGATTCCCCATGAGGAATCGAACATCAGACTACTGGTTTTCGCAGCGTATGAGTAAGCCTTCATTAATAGCGCTTCAGGACGCGCGTTTCTCATGCAGTCCGATGGAATATTTGAGACGAGTTCGGTAAAGGTTTGCTCGGGATTTGGCACATTTTTTAAAAGCAGATACCTTGCAAAACCTCACGCCGGCTCGGGTTGCTCAAGACCGCAAACGAACTGAACCGCTTGTGGTAAGGTGCTCAAATGTAATGAGGGACTTTTGTACTTACAGGCTGCGGTTTCCGCGCCCCATTACTCTACCAATGAGCGTCTCGAGTACTGCAAGGACCAGCAATGTCGATAGCGTCGTGTGAGTAAATATATTCAATTGCTCTTTTATCAGTCTGTCTTACCTTTTTCGTTATGCTTCACCCCGAGCTCAATGTAAGTGATAGTTGCAGCCAATCCAGCCACCAAAGCGAATATACCAGCACACATGTATAACGTAAATGTTTCCCTTGTAATGAGTCTTTCGTGATCGCGTCGAACAGAAAAATTAATGCGGAGGAACAAAATAGCAAAGACTGCCGAAATGGCGGCCCATGTTGCAGCGTTGTAGTTTTGGTAAACTTTCACGTAGGCTACGCAGCCAGAGATTCCTGCGATCGCACCAGCGAAGGCTGCAATGATTCGTGTTATCAGTTTGTACTTTTGGTAAGCTGCCCATGCTCGCTTTAACTTATTGCTCATTGCTACGCGTAGCTGGAAGTGAAGCGAGTCTTGTTTGGTTATCCTTGGCATCTGATACGGTCAGCTAGGCCGGGAGCTAATTAGTCACGCGATCATACGTGACGTACTCAACAGTAGCCACGTGACGATGTAGACAAACGCTTCACGGTAGCAATCATGAAAAGAGTTGGCTAAATTTTTCAGCTTCGCGGTTTGCAATCCGCCATAAACTTCTCCAACAAACATTGACATCACCCCAAAGGCGGCCTAAGCTCCGGCAGTGAGATAATCACCTTACGAAATAAGAGTTAGGGCGAAATTATAAGAGTTTGTAGGGGAATATTTACGACCGCCTTTAGGAATAAAAAAATACGGTCAAATTCTCAATAAAAAATGCCTCACCTTACTTTCACAGCGCATCACTTGTTATCTGACCCCTTAATATGTTGAAAAGAATCCATTTTAGCGAGCTATCCATTTCTAGGTTTACTACGTACATAATCGGTGTAGAAGTAATTTCATAAAATTTGATCTCAATATTTAAGAAAGCCTCTTCACGGATCGTCTATTTTCTCTTTAATCATAACCATTACAATCTGCTTTATTTTTCACCAATCATTCTGAACAATTGTAATCGGACAGTGTAATCAGACAGTTGGCTGTAATCGGACAGTTGAAACAGCCAATCATGCTAAGTCCACTCAGCTAAATCCACTAATCACAAAATTGGTAACAATAACCATAACAATAAGTACTTATCCTGAAAAAGAAAAACTGGGGAATTTCCAAAATGAAGGATTTTTTTTTATTTTAGACATTGTCTCTACTGGAGATGTTTGTCCTAAATGTTTTTGGTTTTTTTTCGGAAATTATGACAGTTATGATTATTTGGTAACAGGACTTCGAGTCGTCCAATTCTGTCTGTTATCATACTCGTGATTGACAATTCGGACTCCCGCTTCGCAGTTGTCCGATTTTGTTCATTAGTATGATTACAGACCGAATTGGACTCCGCTTAGTGACGCGTTCTTCATGTGAATTATTAACAAGTGACAACATGATTTCTCGTGCACTTTGGTGTAAATAAGTACTTGTAAATTTTTCAAAGACTACTTTATCTTTGAAAAATGTAGTCGTACTTATTAACACCAAATTATATTCGAAGTCATGTTGTTCCTTACACTAATCTACCATATCACTATATGACGATTACACTAAGCACTTTTTAGGGATAAGTCTAACGCTGACCAAACGTGTGCTCTCACATTTACGGTTCGTTTCATCCGTTCTGGGTTTTTTCGTTTAGTGATTTGAAAGTAACAAATGTGACTTTGAAAAATATGGCCATGATATAAAACCCTCGATTGTTGCTGCTGGACACAGCCTTTCCTGTAAGTATATGCGCAATCTAGAGTGAAATCTTGTGACTTGAGTTGCCTCACGGTGAAATACACAAGATGGCTGTATGAGCGTTCATCTCAGATTGAAAATGCATATATTTGATGGATCATGCTACATTTGTTGCTCTCGTACTGTAGCAAGGTTCAAGAGGCCTTCTTCTCTCAAAGTCTCGATTGCATGGATAATGCTCATTAAAAAATTTACTTAATCCAGCTAGTCAGTTATAAAATTATTTGCACGTGCAAATCCATATAGAGAGGGATCATGACAGCCAAGGTGAAATTAGTTGACCTATATTTTCAATTTCGTGTCGAAAACAATCTGGATTTAGTTTGGTTTTGTTTTCATACTCTTTAATTGGTCAAGAAATTTGGTCCACTCTCTTATAGAAACATCAAAACTTAATCCAATTAAATCTCGGTTACTTGGATGGTATTGTTGTCTGTGCGTTATGAGTGGCCAATTTAGTGGTCTGTATTTCGCTGTACAGTCCGCTAAATTCAAAAGTTTGTTTCAACCTAGAGATATGATAAACATCATACTAACTTTGTTTTCTCATTTTTTCTCTGACCATGTTTTGTTTTGGAATATTTTACTTTTCCAGAACCTCCTTCCTCTGCCAAACTCAACTTTAGTTTTCCTTGGTGGCTCACTTAATGACAAATGGGTAGAGATAGCAGGTTTGTGAACAAAAACTCATTGCATGCTAGCCTTTGTCTAAAGATTATTTTACCATAACTGTAAAAATTCTTGTTTTCTCATTGGCTGTGAGCCACTGTCAATAAGGTTTTAGATCATAAAAATGACATAACTTGCAACGCAGTGCTCAGTTTTCCTCGCCATGTTGGAGAAAAAATTTCTCTCATTAAAACAATTGCTAAATATGAGGTATGGACAGTGATGCAGGTTGACCAATATATCATTTGAAGTTGCAGTTTATTGTGGAAGACAATCAGACTTATCACATTTATAGTGAATGATTAGTTTTGCTTCAGACTTTAACAGCTTTGATGAACATGAAGATATAATTTCCTGTGTTTTGAATAGGTCACATAAGAAGAGATCTCGTTCCAGATCATTAAGCAGAGATAGGAGTCGGCGCTCTCGAAGTCGAGAAAGAAATAAGGAGAGGGAAAAGAAGAGATCTCGTAGTAGGAGCCCAGAAAAAGGAAGAGCTAAAACAAGCCGAAAGCCACGAGAGCGAGAGAGAGAAAGAGACAGAAAAAGAAAACGATCAGAAAGCAGCTCTTCTCACAGTGCATCATCAAGTAGAAGTCGCAGCCGTAGTCCCAAGAAAAAAGATAAGGAGAAGGATAGCCAGCAGAGAAAGCGTCGCTCACGAAGCAGGAGTGCAGAAAGGAAATCAAAGAAGGAGAGGCCTCGCAGTAAGGAAAGAGACAGAGATAAGGGGAAAGAGAGGAAAAAGCGTTCAAGGAGCCGTGATCGCTCAAGTTCTCCTGGGGCAAGATCAAAGAGTAGGAGTCCAGATAAGGAACCAAAAAAGTCCAAAAGCAGGTTAGTAGAAGTTAGAATAATGTTTCTTTGTCTCATCCCAAGCAAAGGATTAAGGAAAAATTCTGAGTCCCCAAAAGGAATGGAATCTCAGACCTTCAGATGCTGCATTGTGTTGTTCTACCATCTAATGCATTAATTTTTATTCTCATGTCAGCAGAGACAAGAAGAGAAGAGAGGAAGATGACAATTCAGATCGGAGCAAAGAAACTAAAAAGTCAAAGGAGGTTGGCTTATTTGGTTGTCATTGGCCATACTTAATTTATGATATAAAAATTGTTATTGATGGAACTGTTCTTTCTTCAAGAAAGATCAACAAAAGGAAACATTTTTTGGTTTGTCAGTGTGTTTCTCTACCTTACAGTTGATTTTATTTTTAGTCAAAAAAGGAAACCACAAGTTCAAGTGTTGATGAAAAACATGAAGAGGATGATAAAGTAAGTTCAGCAACTCTCTGTTCAGTTTGATAACTTAGCCCTTTACACTCTAACATCAGTATGCATTTTCTCCATACTGTTCTCCATACATTTCCAAAGAGGCTAACAAGGAGAATTTGTTTCACAATCAAGAGCTACTTTTGTAGGTGATCATCTCCTTTATTCTCATGACTTTCATGTTTGATTCAGGGATGATATTGTAAGGAGAAATTGGATGCTGGTCACTCTTAGGGGATAAAGGTTAAAAGAAAACCATTACCAAAGCATCCAACTGAGGCTAAATTTTCAATATGTACCAGGTTTTGTTAAAATAATATTGCTGACTTATAATAATGTGTTGCATGGAAAAATTCTACCATCTTATGAATTATAATGAATTAAATGTTTTTACCTCTTGTGTCTCTTTTGCTTGATATGTGAAAGTGATTCTATGTATTGGAATATTTATTTAGAGTATTTTTAATAGCAATCAGAAACCACATTCTGTTCATTACTGGTGAGGATTCAGTTACGCAACCAATGTTGATTCTGTTTTTTTTCATCAGGATGCAGAACAGAGAAGATTAGAGGATGAGATGCAGAAGAGAAGAGAAAGGTAATAAATTGAAGGGAATCTGAAATACTATCATCATATAACCTGTCCTGTACTGTGTGTGCTATCCTGTAGAAAACTAGAATGAAAGTTGATGTGAGTAGGGCAAAGAGAAATGATATAGTAAGTTGTATTTCTGATGAATTGTGAGTTTCTTGCTCTGCTTAAAGAAAAATAAAGGGCATGTCTTTATTGTAGGATCTTTTTTGTGGTTGTCCTGTGTTTGATCTATCATGACTTAATAAAGTTGAAACAAAATTTTTGATATTTGTTGTCACTTAGTAGTTGTACAATAAAATACTAATCGACTGAGTTTGGTTGGGCCAGAGGGAAAATATTCAGCTCAAATCAAATTCTCCCTATATGAACTCCTCTCAGGTGTTCTATTGTTATCAATCTGTGTGGAATTCTGAGTAAATATTTGAAATATTCTCACTTTGGCTTTTGGGAATATTCTAGAATCGAGGCTTGGAGGGCTCAGCGTAAAAAGGAACAGGAAGAAAAACAGCAAGAGGAGAAACAACAACAACAAATGACAAGTAAAGATCAACAAAAGAAGAAAAAAGCCTGGAGCCTGGAAGATGATGATGACGATGATGAGGAGGAAGAGGAAGAGGAGGCAGGAGAAGCAATTAAGGAAGAGATGCAGGTTAGCTCAATTAATAATAATTAATGATAAATCAATAAGCAATAATAAATTGACAATTATGACAAATTAATTATGAATTTATGATCAACAGTTAGCAATAATTAACATGGTTTGCAAGATACTCTTTGTCTAATGAACTTAAGACTTAAAGGTCCAAAGTCAATCCTCGGCTTTGTATTTCTTAGATACAGAGCTTTACTTTCACATTGCCTCTCTTTACTCAGGAATATAGATCAGGTACTGGTGAATCTGAAGGAATTCTCACAAATATAGCAAAAAGTTAAATCACTGGTTGAAGGAAAAAGGAAGCTGCATTAATGATCAGATATATTTAAAGAGGAACCACTCATCTCAATTCATACTAAAAAAAAAAATTTGGTTTCAATTTTCTGAATTAACCTTCTTACGCAGGATGAAGATGATGAGCCTAAAAAGAAGTTCTTAGGAAGTAAGTAGCATTATTTAATAAAGGTTCCATTGGATTTAAAAAAATTTGTGTGGATAATGTATTTGCGGTAAACTTAATACAATATTTGTAGTGAAAAAGTCTCAAAAATGAAGTCCATTAATGCAATTTTAAAACATCAGAAATAAAACAGTTTTCCAGCATACCTATGAAAACTTTATATAACATGATGGAAATGCCTAATTTCAGACTGTTGTTCCACATTGTACATGCAGAGCATGTCAGAGATTTGACTCGCATATGATATATTTTAAAGACATCACCCCAGAATCAAACATTAAGGTCATGAGAATAAAGGAAATGATCACCAACTAAAGAAGCTCTTGATTGTTAAACAAATTCTCCTTGTCAGTAGCTTGAGAAATGTATGGATGAAATTATGGAGAATATATATACTGATGTTAGAGTTTAAATGGCTAATGAGTTCTCAGACCTTGCGACACATTTAGGTTGAATGAATTGTAGCTTCCCATGATTTTTCTCGACTTTCTCTCTTGTTACTCCCTCTACAAAAACCAACACTCCAAATTCCAGTTTGTGCTGGGGAAAAAAGTGTACAAATTGGTAAAATTCAAATGAATTCCAGTTGTTATGCTCCAGAATTTTTAAAAAAGAGTTAGGTATATACCGCAGAATGTCCACATGCACATGAATTGTCAAAATAGTACTTTGTAAATATATTTATTTTTTTCCATAACTGGCAGTAATGTCGCAATCTGATTGGCCAATTAGGCGTTGTCGATAAGAGTACAGACGCTGCTCGCGTCAACATGTCACGCAATGGTCACGCACTGAGAGAATCGTTTTATATGACGTTGATATAGTGGTAAATAACAAATTAACAGTGGTTTAGCGTTGTTGTACTCTTATCAACAACGACATTCAGACTCGCTGTAATGACGAATATCGTTGTCGATAACTGTGCAGACCACGCCAAACCATTGTTGATTTATTAAATCTTCTTGCAAATCTTGACTTTTATTGCAGACAAAAAAGAGCCTGTGAGTGTCACAAATGGAAAAATCAAAGAGGAACCGGTAAGTCCATTGTATTTATTTTTCCACTGGAACCAAAAACGTGTCTTTGTTATGATTACAGTTTTGAGTCCCAACTGAACTGCATTGAATCTAAGATGAAGCAAATATTCATTATTTTTAGCCCGAAGATAATGATGTGGATCCCTTGGATGCTTTCATGGCTGATGTTAGCAAAGAGGTAAGCTGACTCCCATGAGTGACCTTGGTCAACAGAGGCAAGCGTAAAAAAACGCAAAAAATAACACTTGTTACACAGGCTAGCGTAGAGCTGCACATCCTTTTAGGAGATAAAAATTATTTTAGACGGATAGTTTGCATAGAAGTTTTGAAAATGCTGCATTCTGTCTTTGCAGCTATAGTTAGAGCTTTTTACTTACGAGGGTGCCCCTCGGGTACAAAACTTCAACTCGAAACCATTTTCAACTGACTCAAATTTTGATTATGTATTTTCTGCGATAACCTTTGTAATGTTAACCTGAATACGTAAGTGAACTTGCATCTTTATCAGCATGATGACTGTTACAGTCTGGTCACCATGTTACCTTTCTTTGTTTTGCCAGGTGAAAAAAATAAATGCTTTGGATCAGAAGAAAAAAGTGGGAAAGGCTGGAAAGGCAACAGTTATAACTCATGTTGTAACAAAACCAAAAAAGAGGGTGGGTAAAAACTCTCTTATTGCTTTGTAAATTTTTATAATAACTTAGTTGGAAATGCCGTAGTCTATGGTCAGCTGACTGGCTCTGGTTGGTCAAAGGGTGGATAACGCTATCCATTTTATAAATCTTTATCTACTGGATAGCACAGTAGGTTTTGTTAACACTTATCCACTGAATAGCGATTTATTCGTTTGATAGCGTTATCTGCCCTTTGAGCAACTGGGTCCTGGACTCTAGGCTCGTAGATCTGTGTTTTCGCTCCGGCGAAGGACATTGTTTTGTGTTGTTAGACGCAATCATTTACTCTTACCTGGCCTCTTTACACCCAGTGAGTAATACAGTTTTATGTTAATGATGCTTTTTTCAATTTTTTTAAGGATCCAACTAAAGGAGAATTAATGGAAAATGATCAAGATGCACTGGAGGTAAGATTCGACCATAATAGTTACTTGTACTTGCTTATTCAGTCATAGGTCGTTTTCTGTTGGGCTCAACTGAGATTGGCCAAGATTGGCCCAGTTACGCATGCCCTCCACATTTAACCGCTGTGCTCCTTTGAGGAGAACCCCTTCCCCCCAATTCATTTTATGGAATATCTTGAACTCGGCGCTAAATAACTCACATTTATCATTTGTTGTCTTTAGTATTCCTCCGAAGAAGAAAAAGAAGACGAAACCATAGAGTCAACCTACGCACACTTTAAAACCAAGAAAAAGAAGGTATTTTTAAGACAGTTTAGTCTTCTGCAAAAGAGATAATGGTATAGGCGTTAATTTCTCCTTAAGGCAAACGACCCGTCATTTGTTCTTTCCAAACTACCCTCGTGCTTCACAGAGTGTTATTTCGATAAGTGTCATGGAACCAAAACCAAAGAAATGAAAATAGCCAATAAGAAGAACGGAAAATGCTTTGAAGAGCCAATGACAACTCAAAGTAAAAACAAGCAAACCGCGTAAAGCACGGGAAAACGCGGCCGAAGGAGTCGTGAATGGTTGCACTGATTGTTTGATTAAGTGGCGCGAGTTTTCTGGACCAATCACAGAGCGAAGTAAAGCAAAACCGAAACAATCCCCGGGTTGCTTTCAACACAATTGAAAATTGCTTCATCTCGCGGAAGGTGTGTTGGCGCATGAATTAGTTGTTATTTTGAGAGGCCCTCAGGGCCAAAAAACTTCTTGTAGCCTCTTAAAAGTACCAAAAAAGAGTAAAAAACGGGACAGTCTCAGTTGAAGAGCTTTGAAGAAATCATGCGTACCTAGTTTGGGTTTTGTCAACAAAACTGCATCGGTAGTAACTTCAGATATTTTTTTGAAAAGATTTTCAAGTTGTATTTGGCTGTTCTCTCATGAATCTACTTTCTTTTTGTATCTTTTAGGATCTACAGGCCGTTGATCATGATAAAGTGTATTATTCTTCATTCAGAAAGAATTTTTACGTCGAAGTTCCGGAGCTTGCAAAAATGACCCAAGAAGGTATGCTAGTGGTTGGTCATTTTGTTAGTTTGTTTGATTGGTGAATCATTTCTATAGAATTATCCTCACTTTCAATTGATTAATGTTTCAAGTGAAGTATTGTAATGATTTGGCAGACTTAATTGCTTAGCCCAGCCCCGAGAGAAATCACGATTTTGTCAGAATTGACTGATCTGTTCCTTACAGTTTCTGATGAAATGGCTATGACCTAGGAAAAAAAAGAAATTTTTTTCTTGTTTGTTTTCAGAGGTTGATGAATACCGTGCAAAGCAAGAAAACATCAGAGTTCGTGGCAAAGATTGTCCAAAACCTGTGAAAACATGGGCCCAGTCGGGAGTGAGCCTGAAAATTCTTGATGTTCTCAAGAAGTAAGTTTGTGTTCATGTTCAGTTGGGCAGAAAAGTAAGATATAAAGAAAAAGGTTTTTTTTTCTTCTTGTCATTTGGCACGGTACTTAAACCAGCTGTGACTTGGCTACCCGCGTTTTCCTGCGCTTGGGACCGTTTGCATGTTGTAGTTTTGAATTCTCATTAGCTCCTCGTGGTATTTTCCTCGCGATTGGTCCAGAGAACTCGCGCCAATTTCGTAACCAAGCAGATGCGAATTTTTAAACAAATTGTGACTTTGTCAATCGCCTCAGTTTACCTGCCCTTCAGGGTGGAGGTAACTTGCTTTAATCTGTATCCTCATCGGCTCCTCGTACATTGTCCTTTGTTTTGATCGGCTT